TTGCCATCTCCTGAATAATCACTCCTTATAAAATACGAGTTTGAGAAAGTAAAGCATCGATATACTGTCGTTACAAACTGACATTAAAATATCAAGTCGTACGAAATGATAATAAGTGTTCAAATTATCATCCATTAAATAAAATAGTCATATCGTGCAAGCAGTTCTTTCATTAAATAAGTCATATCTAAAAAAGGGTTTTCCCCAAAAGCGTTGTCCTATTGCATATTTTTAACCACACGCAACCTCTTTCACTGACAAATCTTGATACGCTGAGCAAAAAATCATACTCATCAAAATGCGAAAATACTCTAATATTCAAACGCTTTATCGAAAACGCCTTAACGGATTTGATATGATAAGTGAACCAGTGTGCACGCTTACTACAATGCTCCGCCCCTTTCAACAGGAAGCTCAAGTGACGCTCCGCTGTACGCTCCGCCACCGTTCCGAATTAACGGCCTAAGAACTCACAGAGCAGTTTTCACCTGCGCCCACCGTGGTTGCGGGACCGCGTCTTCCAGAATGTAGATAATGTATGTAAAACTTAGTAGCACAAAAACCGCTTCGTGAGTTCTTAGCCTTAGCCTCAATCGGTAAAATTGGAACATAAATGTCTAAAAATGTATAAAACTTCACATTGAAATCAGTGAGTGTGCGTCACTCAACATGACGCACACACTCAACATAGCCCATAGCACTAGGGAAACCCTGTGTCGCGGGTGCCATGGACACACATATAGACAACCACAAATTACACCCAAACTCACGAGAGAAATAAATGTAGGCCATACAAATATTTATCCCGGTCCGGGAATCGAACCCGGGGACCTCTGCGTAGCAGACCGGTGTGGTAACCGTTCAGCCACGGAGGCAGTGAATAGTGTTGATGCGTAAAAAAATTGGAAAAAAACTTTTGCGTAACCTCCGGAAGATTTATAACAAGTGTTTTTTAACTGATACGAATGTCGTATCGAAAAGTTTTAGATTTATATAAAAGGAACTACAACAAATGTTATGAAAATGACTATAAGAGTGCCAAGTGAAACTTCCAAGTAAGGTAATAATTATAGGAACATAATACGGATTTTTTTAACTGGAATAAATCCGATCAAATATGAAACGCGTAGCACTCGATATGTATTGGTATAGTGGTAGGCTGAAAGAAGGAAACTGTGGTCAAAACATGGTTAATTTTTTTTTATGTCAAGAAGGAGGCAAACGAGCCGACGAGTCACTTGATGGGAGGTGGTCATCGTCGCCCATGGACATTTGCAAGATCAGATGAGCTGCCTAAGCGTTGCCAGCCTTTGAGAGCCCTGTAAACACGCTTTTTGAAGAACCCCATGTCATAGCGCAAAAGGAACACTTCAGGAGAAAGATCATTCCACACCTTGCAGGTTCGAGGAAGGAACGAACTAGATGCCCGTGTGGTCTTACAATGCCAGGCATCTAAGATGTGGCGATGGAGTCTACTCCTTGGCGGGAGGTGCGATGGTAGAAACGAGACGGTGGCACCAGTTCGAAAAGTTCCTCAGAGCACTCCCCATTATAAAGACGATAGAACACACACAGAGAGCAATCTCGTCTCTCGTCTATAGGGCTCCATATCGTCTGCGAGTTTGGGATCATCGATAATACGAACAGCCCTACGTTGGATAGAGTCAAGTGGATCAAGCTAGTATTTGGGAGCTCCTGCCCAGAGATGCGAGCAATACTCCATATGAGGCCGTACTTGTGTTTTATATAACAAAAATCGGTGTCCTGGAGAGAGGTACTGCTTCGCTCTATTGAGCACTCCGAGCTTTTTTGAAGCCAGTTTGGCTTTGCTCTCCAAATGACTCCGGAACTGGACTTCGCTCGTGATGTCGACTCCGAGTATCCCAATACTCTTTGAGATGGTAAGGGCAGTGTTCTGGAACTTTGGCGCTATTACGAATGGGGATTTTTTAGCGGTAAACGCGCACACTTGTGTCTTTGCGGGGTTAAATTTGACTAAATTCTGTTTGCCCCATTCTGAGACCTGCTCCAAAGAAGTCTCGATTTTGGACACTAGTTGCAGTCTGTTTTGTTCCACTTGTTGGTGGGGCATATTTGTGCGACCTGTATAATAGGCATCACCGGTACTGTAATCCGCATAGCAATGAATGTTACTAGTTTATAACATATCATTGATATGCAGGATCAACAGAGTTGGTGATAGCACAGATTCTTGCGGAACGCTGGCGTTGATGAGCATGGTGTCCGAGCACAATCCGTCGACAGCGACTTTTATGCTCCGCTCAGACAGGAAGCTGGCGATCCAAGTGCACAGCCCTTTTGGAAGCCCGTAAGATGGTAGCTTCGACAGAAGTTCCTTGTACCAGACCCGATCAAAAACCTTAGCGATGTCTAAGCTCACGGCCATTGCTTCCCCCTTGCTCTCGATGGCAGCTGCCCATTGATGCGTGAGATATACAAGAAGATCACCAGCACCACGACCGCGGCGAAAGCCGTACTGGCGGTCGTTGATAAGTTGGCGATCCTCGAGGTAATCTCAGAGATGGTAGTTTACCACACGCTCCATCACCTTGGAGAGCAAGTAGGTTATCACTATAGGCCGATAGTTCACCTCTCTTGGGTATGGGGTGAACGCAGGCTATCTTCCACAAAGACTTTACTTGAGTGGTACGAAAACGAGAAGAGGCGCGATAGCACGCCGTACCGCATTTTGCGTGAAGCGAATTTCGGGCATTGTTTACTTACACCGCGGGATAGGAGGCAGTAAGTTAACCTCGTCGTCAAGAGTTGAGTTCGACGCAAAAAGAGAGCATAGGAGATAAAGAGAAAGCTTTCTCTTTAGCGGAATGAGCCAGAGAACCATAAGGCTTGTGTATTGGTGGTAGCAAGTCTCGACAGAAGTTTCCCTGAACAACCTTGGCGAGGGACCAGAAGGCACGGCTACCCGATGGATAGCCAAGTAGTTTTTCGCCAATTTTGCGAGTGTGTGCAAACTTTGCAGTGGCAATTTCCCTTTTGCAGAACCTGGAGGCTGCGTTAAATTTCTGCTTCAATTTGGAAGTTTGTGGGTCCTTGGCGCCTGACGCAACAGTCCAAGCCCGGTAGGGCATGCACTTAGCTTTCCAAGCTTCAGCGCAAAACCTACCAAACCAAGGCTGAGAGCGACCACTGACGCGCACTGCAGAGTTTGGAATAAAACATTCTATGCCCAACAGTATCGCCTCGACAATGGATGCTGCGCAGACGTCAGGATCGTCCGAAGAGAAGCTCAATTGCTTCCTTGGGAAGGAGGCGTAGAACTCACGCAATCCGTCCCAATCAGCTGACCCATAATGCCAAACAAGCCGCCTCCCGGGTGGTCGGGGGCTTCTGGCATGGGTAACACTCACCTCAGAACGGATCAGTAGATGATCAGATGTTCCCAAGCAGGTATGACGGGACACCCGAACGCCATCTGGGTGAGACGTCAGCATTAGGTCCAGCAAACCAGGGGTATGACTGCCTAGACGGCGACAGCAGATATCATCCGGAACATACATGCACACCCCAGCCCGAGAAACAAACTTGTATTCCAGACAGTATCCGGGGTACATGAGGTACGATACGTCTGACGGGGTAGATATTTACGTCTCCGTCAGGAAAAATAAGGCCGGCTTGGACGTCTCGAGATGGTGATGAACGTCATTCAAGTTAGAGTGAAGTCCCCTGATGTAGCAAAAGTCCCCATTTAAAGTGGAACAGGGCGCCACTGTATAAACGTTTTTCCATTTTTTTTAGCAGCCATAAATAGAAACACGTAAAGGGAGGGTTAAGTGGATTGCCGCAATCTCAACAGTTACTTGGGTAAAAAAAATAGACCATATTCCACCCTGGAACACCAAGTATAGCGCCTCTCTGGCGTGGGGAACGGAAGGACACAACCTAAGTTTGGCCGACGGGTTCCACTCCGGGGTCCCAGTCCGGCACGAAGACCAACCTCATAGGCTTTTATCACTGGCGGCAGGACAGCCTCCCTGGCTGGTACAAGCCCGGGTTCGGGTCCTCTACGTACCAGCGGGCGGTCAGCAAACAACCATTTCACTGGGTCTCCCTGACCCCCACGTCAAAGCGGCACGCTCAGCGCAGCAGAGCAGGGGTACAGGACCATGCGAGCCGAGAACTGGTGAGACTGTGGCAATCGGGAGGAAGGAGCTGGTACTCGCGCGCTCAGTTGGAACACACCCAAAGGTGCTTTGCAACAGATTCCAATGGGTGGTCGCTAACCAGTCGAGTCCTATGAGGGCTCTGCCACCAAGCTAGGCGATATTTGGATATTACATGAGACCATCGTAAAGCCTCACAACCTGAGATCTTAAGGAATCAGTTGTTCATTTGGCTATACCCAAGAGTCACGTGTAGGGAATCTAGAGTCACAGCCTACGGACGCGAACAACACCGGCTAAACTCTCATATATATCCCATATATGGCAGCGAATTTATTTCTGAGTATTGGGGGTAGTAAATTTGGGTACATTCGTTATGCCCCCGGTTTGGTATGCCCCTGTGTTGTATGCCTCCGATGTGTATGCCCCCGGTGTGGGTTAAGTACGATAAATGTAATTCAAAGCTAAAATGATGAAAATAAAATGTACTGGCAGACACAGAAATGCTTTCACAAAAAGAAAATAATAAGTATGTAATATTAGCCGCTACGAATATAATTTGAAATAACATGAACTTGTTAGTACTCATTTTGGCAACTTATAAATATTTATTAATAATCAACATCTTAGTTATTCTTTTATAATTTTCACGAGTTTTTGAACCATTAGCATTTTCGTAGGTAGGTATTGTTTTACCAATTACAAGTTTATTAACAACTTATTATAATTAAATCATAATAGATATCTGACAAAAAATGTTGATCCAAAATTTATTAAAATCGGGGGCACACACCACGGGGGCATATCAAACCTGGGGCACAACGAACGGACCCGTAAGTTCCAATAAAATATTTCCAGAATATCATTTCAAATTCTTCGTGCCAGCCCCAATCCCAACATCATCAATCCAAGAGACGAGCGACGAAAGTTCTGTTCAATTCGACTCCAGTTCTGAAGAGACCAAAATGCGCTATGTAATCAGAGTTACGCCTAGTCTATCTAATGATGTTGTAGGTGTTGAGGTGAGACATACTTTTGAGATAATCAGTTTTAATATCAATTAAGAAAAACGTCTTCTAAGATCGTTTGTTTTATTCTGGATTTTCATCTCGTGTTCACGCCTTGTCAATAAAAAGCTATGTGATTTGACCACGTTTCGTGCTGTGTTTTCATGTAATTGATGAAACATTAAATACCGTCTAAACTTAAACAACTGCCTGTTACAGATCACAGCTTCAACATCTCGATGGGGTTTCAGCACTCCAGAGCTATTGGAAGATGGGACGATTGTGAGAGAGTTGCGACCTAGACGATCCTGTAATTCACTTGATGTTGCCTTCCTACCTGCTACTCATAACGCTACTGATGTTATAAGGTAACTATAAACACATATATTTATATATATATCAGGTCATAGAACCTGTAAAGAAACCGAAATGTTGGTTTTGTTTGGAAAAATAAGTACGCGATTCACATCAAAGAAAAGAGTTTCATTTCCATTATATTTAATAAAATATCAATCAATTTACATCCATGTATGCCTATAAAAGCTGCAATTATTGCTACATAATGGATAGTTAACTGCCTCCGTGGCCGAACGGTTACCGTGCCGGCAGTCCGGCAGAGGTCCTAGGTTCGATTCCCGGGCCGGGAGAAATATTTGTATGGCCTACATTTATTTCTCTCGTGAGTTTGGGTGTAATTTGTGTTTGTCTATGTGTGTGTCCATGGCACCCGCGACACAGGGTTTCCCTAGTGCGGGGCTATGTTGAGTGTGTGAGTGTGTGCGTTAAATAGTAGGTTAAGCGATCGCTAAAACCACCTGGGTTTTAGTCCGGTCTTAACCAGGCGTGCTAATGACATATATTTCCAAATACCGAGAACGAATTATGAAAAGAATGTTGGAAGGAGCTCAAATATACCTACGACAAATTACGGAAAGATGTTAAGGAAATTTCAGTTAAAATTCCAATTATTCGAGAAGAAATCAAAATTCTTTATTATGAGGAATTTCTCACAGTTTTCATGTTTTTATTTCTATATGTGCTATTAACGTGTCACTATGGCAATTGATAATATGCAATACTTCATTAGGGCCTTCTTTTTCTTATTATACTAGGACACCAAATTATATTTGTATGTCTTTCAATTGAATATTATAAAATATATATAAATATATATAAAAGAATACAAATTCACTTAGTGTTTATAAAAGCACTAAGTAAATTTGTATTCTTTTGAGATAATATCTTAAACCATTATATTGTACGTTTTTACCCAAAGCCGGGTTTTAACCCATTTCTGCCCAAAATCGTAGGCAGAAACGGCGAATACGGAATTTGTATAATTCCATACTTGTTACAAATTTCGATATAAAAAAAATCTTTTGTTCACAATTATCACTTGTGTCAGTATTTTGTACTCACCTTGCAATAATCCTGTAAATTCCTATTAAACAGGCACATTACGATTACACTTTTGTAAAAATCGATTCAGGTTTATAAGTTGTAACGATTTTATTTTATCGATTTATTAATTCAAGTCGAATCGTCTAGATCAGAAACTTTTGTAATATTATCATTCACAACACATATTTACTCGTAAATAGTTTTTGCTTTGTTGGGCCACTGAGGTCATCTAAAAAAGAAAGAAGTAGTTTTTTAATTTCTAGACGCTGCTGTCTCCTCGGTGAGGGCCCATGTATTTTATTTGTGGGGCCAACGGTGACTTAATAAATGAGGAAACCCTTTTATGTATTTGTCAAGAGCTCTGGCTAATCATAGGTTTAGGAGCAATGGCTTAATGGAATGTCGCTCCTGTAGGTATTATAGAAGCCGGAAGAATACCTTATATTTCTTGAAATGGAATCTATTTAGGCACCAACCAATTTCTATGTTCTATACCAGATATTGCATAACAGCTTGGGAAGATGTCAGTGGAGAAAGTCATTTATGCAACTCTTCGAAAAAATCTTCAGTCAAGCTGTGTGTGACCTACGTACAAACACCCACGTAAGTTTTTCAACGAAAATGTTAGCTTACTTATTTTTTTTAAACTTATTTATGAGCATAACCTAAAGTAATAGCGCCAAGTTTCCAGAACACTGCCCTTACCATCTCTGAGGGTATTTGGATACTTGGAATCGACATCACGAATTCCAGCTCCGGGGTCATTTGGAGAGCAAGGCCAAACTGGCTTCAGGCAGGAGCTCCCAAATACCAGCTTAACCAACTTGACTCCATCCAACGTAGGGATGTTCGTATTGTCGATGATCCCAAACTCGCAGACGATATGGAGCCCTATAGACCCTTAGCCAGATAGGCTAAGGCTTACGGAGAGACGAGATTGCTCTCTGTGTGTGTTCTATCGTCTTTATAATGGGGAGTGCTCTGAACTTTTCGAACTGGTGCCACCATCTCGTTTCTACCATCGCACCTCCCGCCACAGGAGTAAAGCCCAACCCCATATCTTAGATACCTGGCATTGTAAGCCCCACGCGGGCGTTTCGTTCGTTCCTCTCTCGAACATGCAAGATGTGGAATGATCTTCCTCCTGAAGTATTTCCTTTGCGCTATGACATGCGTTTCTTCAAAAAGCGTGTTTACAGGGCTCTCAAAGGCTGCAACGTATAGGCAGCTCATCTAATGTTGCAAATGTCCATGTGCGACTATGACCACCTCCCATCAAGTCGTTTGCCTCGTTCTTTATATAAAAAATAAATAAATAACCAACAATCATAATTACTTGTTGTTATTTTGTAGTAGCTTGTGGGACATATAAGTTGGAAGCATCGGGTTTAATCCCCGGTACAGACTAGATTAAAAATAACAATTGTTAATTGAAAATATTACGGGGACTTTGCTTGCTCCCGGAACTTTTCGACAGCATGTAAAGTACTCAGCCGGAATTAAATCTTGATTATGACATCACATCCCGGAAGATATCCGTTCCCAGCTTTAGAACGTGCACTAATGAATGTTGTAAAGACAGATTCAAACTCAGCACATATTAGTTAATATTTTTATTTATTTCAGGTCTCGAGTTATTGTACAGAAGATAACAGGTCTAAAACCGGGACAGAAATACGCAATACAAGTTACAGCATCCAGCACGGGCACTTCTATACCATATCAAACTCTTTATGCTGATACTAATGTGTCTTGTAAAGATGACGTTATATAAATGGTACTGGTGTTATTTTATTAAGTTTTTTAAGGGATTTGAACATGTAAACAGTCAAACTGTCTAATGGAATGTTGTAAGGGCTGCTTGTAGACATTTGCGATACTAAAATATCACCCGCAGTTGTCCTTGTCATTATTGTTGTAATTTAATATTAATGTTGTAATCCTCACACTTATGAGTACGGATCGCATAACAGTAAGCCTTCCACTCGGACGGTTGACATGAAACGGACGACGTCATGTCAGACATATTACTTTGAGAGACATAGTTTTCTCTATCTAATTTCGGTGGCAATTTTTATTATTTAAATATTCTAAAATTTTATCACGAATTATTATTTAATGTTCCAGTGTAAGTAATAACCTGAAATATTATTTAATATTTCACGATAATTATTCTTGAATACTAACTTGAAAATTACCCAGTTATCCTTTGTCTATAATATCGTCGACTCTCCCTACGCCTCAGACGAACAGTGGCGCTTTGAGTAGAAATATGTAGAGAGGTGATACGAAGGGGGACCTGGACAACCACCACTGGGTATAAATAAGTTTTCTATGTATTTTTTTAATTGTAATTTTTGTGACAAAATTTCTAGGGTCTTTGCACATAATGATAGGCAAGTCTTACTAAATCCGTCATATATGTACCTAACGACTTGTCGTGTTTAGATAATAATTATTTTAGTATAAAAATCAGATTTACGATATTAATTCGATCTCATATAAAGTCAATGAAATGCGTCATTTTGTAAAATAATTAGTATAACCTGCTCTCTGATTTTTTATATAAATATCTAGTTATTTATTTGTCTGTAGGACTACTATCGTGGACATGCTTAACCCTTCTTAAAAAGTCTGTACAGGTATAGTCACCCGCAATAAAATACAAAGCCTCGTAGAGAAATTGAAATCTTATTTACATAATATGAATGAATAATAAAGTTTTGCATATACAGTAATACATTTTGGCAAATACTAATAAAGTGCCAGATAACTACACCAACCTGGTCTCAAACTAGGGACTTCCAGGTACCATATAAGTACCAGAGCAACGGAATTCACTCCAGGGTTCTAAGCATAACACCAAGATCAGAACCTATTTAAAAAACAGAATAGAATAGAATAGAATACGTTTATTTGCCAGAATGCAGTAACGATAAAGGTCAACCTACAAGCAGATGTGCAAATATTAATTTCATGTTCGGTTTCTATAGTTAATTGCATTTCAAATTAATGTAAATTTGTATTTGAAAATTCTAAGTATTATTCCGCACTGGAAGCATTACACTGTAAGAGCCATTTTTGTAATTTTACGGGGGAAGCGATTTTGTGTCGAAATGCAGTTTGTATGCCAATTAGTAGCTAGAAATGTTATTAAATGTCAATTAATTTTATTTAAAGCCATTATAAATGTTGTACGTGCTGCATTTCGACACAAAATCGCGTCACCAGTAAAATTACAAAAAAAAACACTAACAGTGTAATGCTTCTCAGGTACGGTATTTATTACTATAGAAGCAATGGGTCAAAAGCTATTTTGTCAATTGTAATTGAAAAGTATGTCCTTAATTTACAATACACTTATATTTTATTTATAATACTTAATTTACGTAACAATTTAATTTCATTTGGCAAATTGTTGAAAATAATTAAACACATGTTGAAACAGTGTTCTCTAAAAATTACTTTTATGGCAACGACGTTGGTACAAAAGATTCATAATTTTTGCTCTAGTTTGTCTTTGATTAATTTCAAAGGTCGTTTCAAATTGGTACTACTAGGAATCGAAAGTCCTGATCAGCCCACAATGCAAAGCGTTGCGCCTCCGAAGTCGTCAATGTTAAATTGGTAAAATATTGTAAAGATTGAACAAACGTTTACCAAGAATAGTATATTAATTATTTAATAAATTTAACGTAAATTTACGGTTTAATTTTAATTTAGTTATACATTAACATCAACCCATTTATACGTCCCGCTGCTGTACACGGGGTCCTCTCAGGCCATACTCCGCCACTGCACACGTTTTCCGAGTGTTGCGAAACCATGGCCACACAAATAGACAACGACAAGTTACACCCAAAGTCACTAGGGAAATAAATGTAAACCATACAAATATTTCTCCCGGGAAACTAACCCGAGATCTCTGCGCAGCAGTCCAGGTTGGTAACCATTCAGTCACTGAGGCAGTTAAAGAAATTTAAAAAAAAATTAGCTATACACAGATTCCCACGTTATTTATTGTAATTTGACTGCATTTGTACATTTCATTACATTCGACTGCACCAAATTAAACCTGTGAAAAAGACGTTACGCCCAAGACGATGTACCCATATACCTGCACAATGTAATACATAACAATATAAATTAATTAATTCGGTAACACAGTATTAGAAACAATAAGTTTGGTATTTGCTTTGTTTGATTAAACAATAAACTTTATTGAAGAGTATTTAACAAATTATTATTATATCTTTATAAATAAGATACTATTGTACATATTTTAACAGTTATCTGGTAAATATTAATTGTATAATGTACTTTATAGTTATAGCTAGATGCTGTTACAAAGGGGTCTCATAAATATCTATTTTAAAAAAATATCCAACGTATTTCGCGATCATGACCATTACCTCATCATAAATACTAATAACCTTACTGGACCATATTACTTACATCATAAACAACGATTATATTACCTAAATCATATAAAAATAAATATATTTAAATAAATCGTTCTAAACGGTATAGTTCTGTGCAGGACCCCGGTTCAGGGGGTCTACTCTCGATCTCCGCACAACATCCGTCAGCAACAATTACTGTCAAATAAGTAATATTCGACAAAATTAAAAGACAAGTATCAAGAATGAAGCTTCATTCGCATCATGCGTCTTTTCATTTGGTCAAGTATTGCTTATTCGGCAGTAATTGTTTCGGACGGATGTCGGACGGAGATCGAGAGTAGACCCCCAGAACTCTTTGATATTTTAACCGAATCGTTCCATTGGATATTATTCTCGAATCGAAGAGCGAAGCGCTATTCAGAACATTCCCAGTTAATCGTTCGATTCGGATTCGAACATTACATCGTTATCCAGAGTTAGTCGGTGAAATAGATTATAAGAAAAATGAAAATCCTTTTATATACATTTTAAACACTTTGAAGGCCTTAAATATAGGGATGCATTAGTCTTGCATTATAATAAATTAATAAAATTGAACAAAATCCAGATTTTATTTAAAATAATAAGAGATATCCATAATTACATTCTTGTTTTGTAAACAATAGGTTTTTTTTTTTTTTTTTATTGTGACTCGGCAAAGTGACTGCACCGCGCCTGATGGAAAGTGCGAATACAGTCCAGAGATGAGAGAAACGGATGGAAAACACAAATATCTTCACTCCGTCACTATCATTTTGCCGGTCTGGCCAAATGCTTCTTCACACTACGTTTGAAGGACCCGATGTTATAGAGGGGAGGGAATACATGCGCCGGGAGTTGGTTCCACAATTTGATGGTTCGGCATAAAAACGAATTGCCAAACTTTTTAGTGCGGGACGGTATTGAACTGACCGTCCATCTGTGGCAACGCAGTCCGGCATGGGTGGTCCGCTGATGGAAAGGAGAGGAAGGGATAAGGTTGAATAACTCTTCAGAGCACTCACCGTGGTACAGGCGATAGAATACGCTAAGAGACGCTATATCTCTGCGAAGCTGTAACGACTCCGCATGCTCAGTTACATGAGGATCGTTGACAACACGGAAGGCGTAGCGCTGCAGTCCATCTAGGACATCGAGCAAGTACTTGGCAGAGCCGTCCCAAAGGTGCGAACAGTACTCCATGCTGCTTCGGACCTGAGCTTTATACAACAGGTATCGCAGCTCTGGAGTAAAAAATCGGTGCACCTTGTTAGCTTGCGCGACGCGGTACAGATGACGCTCTCGATATATCGGTTACTTTCATTACCGATAACTGTGTTCTGAATAACGTTTGTAGCCTTTGCCGGCCGAGAAGTTCGAGTAATCGTACGGGTGTGATGTCATTTCGGTTCGGTTTCGAATACGACAGTTTGAGTTCGATTCGGGTGTTGCGAATAAAAATGAAAAGAAATCGGTCGACAACTGAGTTATCATAAGGTTCTGAATCGACCCCCATGACGGGGGTGGGAGTCGAAGCGGAGGACGATTGCACGTGATTACTTTACTGCCAAATACAAATCTAAAAAGTATCAGATAGTACAATAAAAACTGAAAAGTTTATTTTTGGTAGATTTATTATGTTATACAAAAAGTCATGGAACAAAAGTTGTTGGTGATGATGTTAAAAATATAGTCCTACAAGGTTGTTAGTATTTTAAAAATAGCCCTGTATTCCAACTCTTCCTAGGATAAGAATGCTCTTGCGGTCCGGAAGTAATCAGTCAACATAATGTATACATATGTTGCGGGCCAATCGATACTACGTATTTCGATTCGAAATTAGCTACAAATTAATAAAAAATGTAATCGTTACTTTAGCAAAATATCTGAAAACTTTCCGTATCACTATGTTTTACAAGACCATTTTGTACAGCCCGTACAATTGTATGCAGCATTTATTTTAAAAGCTTTTATTAATAGTCCATTTAAGTTCCTATTGTGTGTCATGTAAATATTAATAAATATTGGAATGATAAATAAAATTAATTTATTCCACTTATTTTTACCTACTTTACAGAAGAAGATTCCTTTTTTTAGGCGTGGGGCCTCAAGTGTTGCACTTTGGAAATGAAACTACATATGTTTTAGGATTTATAAGTTCAGAATTTGGTGGTTTGCTTTAATAATAGACATAACTAATTAATCACTACACAGTTTAAGTCAGCTGTGATCATGGGACCTGAAAAGAGTCCGAAACGTTGGTTTGTTTGAAAACAGATATGTATATCATTTTAGATTCGAATAATACTTTCAAATCCAAGTCGAGTCTATTGTTATTAAGATTAAACGTTGCCAGTTTTTTGCAAATTATCTACTACGTCTTACACCATTTTATCATCTATATTTTAAGCAAATGTTTATTATTATCCTGATATTTATTAATTACTGAGTTGAAATAAATAACCATATTAAAATTAAAAAATAACATTCCCTTTTTAAGCTAAACAACTTACTCTGTTGAGTGTTATAGGTTATTGTTAATGATATTTATACAACATGTATTATTATAGTTTACTGATAAACATTGTGTAACGTAACATTATGTAAATGATTGTGTAATGCAATATTGTCTAAGGAAGCAAAAAACCATTATCAATAACGTAAACACTGCCGGTGATACTGCAAGCCATATCACTTGCCAGATACATAATCAAATCCGCTACCTCTTCGGCCTTTGCAATCTTTTTTAGAGGACTCTCTTCGGCTCTCTCTTTCATCAATTTTTCTGTTTCCTTTGCTCCCAAGCCCAACCTATCATGAAACTCAGATACTGTAGGACCAGGATTCACAGAATTAACTCTAACACCGTGCATTGCCAGTTCTTTGGCAGCGCATTTTGTAAACATATCCAATGCAGCCTTTGATATACAATATGGCATGAGATTAATCACTGCTTTCGTAGAAGCAACGCTTGAAATGTTCACCACATTACCTTTAGATTTTATCAGGTAAGGAGATACAAGACTGGTGAGGAAATATGGGCATCGTATATTCAATCTCATCATTTTCTCGTAAGGTAGAATCCCATCTTTCAATCCTGCTATCATTCCAGCACCGGCGTTGTTAATCAATACATCGATTTTACCAAAGCATTCGATAGTCTTCTCCACAATTTTTTTTACATCTTCATCTTTTTCTAAGTCCGCTTTGACGATCAGTGGTTTTATACCTTTACATTTCTCAATTTTCGAAGCCACCTGTTTTAATTTCTCTTCATTTCTTGCTACAAGTACCAGCTTAGCGGAATATGCAGCCAGCTTTAATGCTGTGGCTTCACCGATTCCAACACTTGCACCAGTGATTATAATTACTTTATCTTTGAAATCCATTTCAATTTTTTATTCTATACATTTGTACAGACACGTATCAGTACAAGTTCAGGATTAAATGATTTTAATGAATGCTCATTATCTCGTATTTATATACGTTCTAAAACAGTGATACTTGTTAACTGCAATTAAGATTATATAAAATAACATGGCACTATTTGCTCAAGAGGAATGGAAATTTTTTGATAAATCCGATAAAGTAACCTATAACTACGTTAATAAACATGGAGGCTTGTTTATAAAAGTAGACACCACAGATTATAATTGGATTAATTCGATTGTTATCAATTTATAAACAATTGAGAAGACATGATTATGTACAGCATGCCACACGGTAACACAAGTAGATCTGTATATAAGATCATAAAATACTAAGAAAATATAAATTGATTCAAATTATAAAATTGAACTCAAACATAGGACCTACCGTAGGCTATGGTGTATAAAGTGTATGAGCCCTATTTAGCTAATGACTGAACTTGAAGCAATATACATCCATCTTTCAGGGCAAGATATACGCCACATAGACTGCAAAAATTAACCTGACGGCAGTCAGTTAGACTAGACACGACGAATACTCTTGAGGAGAGAAACAAAGTGCTCTTACGGTGGATTCCAGACCATTACGATATCAAGGGCAACATGGCAACAGATGAGCCAGTGAATTCGGGCGTCATGGAAATTTTCACCGATCCCAAACTTTTCATTGGTATTACATAATATACTACCTCCCTAAGTTCATCCTTCAGGACGTATGCATATTTATCGATATAAACCTGTTAATACAAAATTTGTTTACATAGGTAATGCAATCTATGCAAATAAATATTGTAACAGGTATGAAGGCAACTCAAAGCCGTTTAGCTCTGATATCAACTACTTTGACGCCCTGTATCATGTTTTTATTAAAGAGGCTGTTAATAAATAAATAAATCAATTTGATTAACTATTAGCATTGACACTTTGAATGTAATGGTAACCTAACGACAGTTGATCGATGTACAGTCACTCACGAGTAGGTATGTATAAAACATCAATTTAAAATGATAAAAGTCAATAGCAATAACTTAACATCATCATTTCAGCAGAAAGATATTCACTGTTGAACATCCTGCAAACTCCACAAGGTCGTCGGTTCATCTGGTGTGTGGTATGCTACTCTATGCTACTCTAGTTCTTTTGCGGATCTCCTAATTTCTGATTCTGTGACTTTGTGATTCTGTGAATAATCTTGGTAAGCAAAGGCCGCCTTCAAATTAAACGCTTGTAGAAGCGCTGTAGTAGAACTGTGACGCAATAGCTGCGCGTGTGTAGCGCTTAAGACTCTATACAACTTCAAATGGCTTTGGTTGATTCCGGATAACACTGAAAGTGTTGAATCAATTAGGTACTTTGGAAAAGTATATAGTAAAATTGAGGATGTACACTGATTACTATACGGTGTGAAAACACGATTCCTAAACATTTTTATGATAGAAGAAAACACACATTTACTATGAAATTTTACTTTTACAAGGAAACTGCTGTATTCAATAGGTACTATAAATATACCAATTATTTTTTTATATCAAGTGAACTAAATAGAACACGTATAGTGTGCGATATACGTTTTTTAAACGGCTTTAATTGCGTTTGTAAAAAAATAATTCTGAAATAAAGTCAGTGTGCTGCGGCTCGACCTGATTAAAACCGTGATTGATGACCGTGAACCGTATTAGTACAGGACAAATTTGAATTTGATCTGATGTAGTATCGACTCTTATTAATAAAATAGTAAATTTTAGTTCACTAATTGCGACTGCAAAAGTAGCACGTGGCTATCACGACAGTGGCGCTGCAGCTGCGCTTTTAAATATTTTATGAATTATATAATTAGTAATACTGGTTTTCTGTTTTTGGATAGGGAGCTGTTTTTTTTAGATTATTTTATTGCTTTTATTTATACCAAACGTCGTAGCGGGTATTCACATAAATGATTTCAAGATCGTTCAGACAAAATGTGTTAAATTTGAATTTCCTTACGTAAAATCGACCAGTCCAAGCGTAGATAGTAAACTTCAATGGTTTCCACAATATCTTCCCTGGCCAGCAGATTAAGCTCCGCTGCATACGTGAGTCCGCAGAATGCGTGAGCTTACCGATGTTAGTACTGCTAGACTAGTTTACTTTGGTTATTTCCAGAGTATAATGTCCTACAGGATTCTCATGTGGGGTAAAGCGGCAAGTATTCAAACCATATTTGTATTGCAAAAACGAGCGATTCGTTCCATTCGTACCATCTAGGCTCTCGGGTTTCGCTCAGAGAAAAGTTTAAGGAGACTGGTATCATGACTGTGGCATCACAGTACATTTACTCAAATATTTTATATGCCCGTAAAAATATACATAATTTCAATAAGAAAGAAGATATGCATAATATTAACCTTAGAGCTAAATCCAAACTCATGGTATCACCGATTTCGTGTAACCAAGGTAACGACCCTTTTATGGGGAACTGTATACGTTTTTACAATAAGATTACGGAGCATTTATTAAGATTATCACTTCCTAAGTTTAAAAACTACATTAAAATAAAAAATCGACCTCAAAAGTACGTGGAATTACATTTATTTGCCAAGTTTTACTGAAATCGGTTACCAGAAAGTGCGCAAACCCGGATTCATCCCCTACTTCGCCACTACACGGAACTTGACACAGGAGATAATAAAAATCGGTTATCATTACTCAAAGTATATTGAGAGAGAAAAACGCCTTGAATTGGAGAATAGCAAAATCAACCATTAAAACAATTGCTCCTTATAATAAAATTTAGGTGCTATTTATAATAATCTCAGTACAAAGTACTAAGAAAATCGACCTCAAAAGTACCTGGATTTACATTTATTTGCCAAGTTTTATTGAAATTGATTACGGGAGAGTGCGCAAACCCGGATTCATCCCCTAATTCGCCACTATACGGAACTTGACACAGGAGATAATAAAAATCGGTTCTCACTACTCAAACTATATGGAGAGAAAAACGCCTTGAATTGGAGAATAGCAAAGTCAACCATTCAAATAATTGCTCTTTATAATAAAATGTAGGCGCTATTAATAAAAATGAATAAATGATTTTCTTCAATATTAAATGGGTACCTCCTTAGTGGTTCTATGGAGGTACCCTCTGTCCAACAAAAAAAGAATCATCAAAATCGGTTCACAAATACCGGAGTTATCGCGTAAAATACATACAAAAAAAACATACAATCGAATTGAGAACCTCCTCCTTTTTTGAAGTCGGTTAAATATTTTGATTGAAAAGTCATATTACAAAATAGAAAACTACGTGTTAGATCAAGATGTATGGAAAGACGACACGGCTCCAGAATACACAAATTTGATTCAAAGTGTATTCCATAGCATTTAAAGTATTTGAAAAGAGCAATCCCTAGAGTTTCTTGCTCGTTCTTCTGAGGGAAGTCAGCGTAGTAAACGACCAGTAGCTTAAATGTGACGTTTTCAAGTGTAAATTTATTTTATTTTTAGAATAAATTATCTTTGACTTTGACTTTGTTATAATTATTAATACAAAGATCGAACACTTAGAAAAAATTCCATCGATTCCAAAAAAACGAAATCAAATATCTACAACAAGCACATAGAAAAATTCGTAAGTTACGCTGGTTCGTGCGCACGTGCGTTCGTGCGTGCGTGCGTACGCGTGTGTGTGTGTGTGTGTGTGTGTTTTAGAGAGAAAGATAATGTGTCTGTGTGTATATAATTGTACACATTATTATAAACTAAATAAATATAAATATGAACCTACTTTAATAAAATGTTAACTTTATTTCAATATGTATAGCTTTGAATTTAAATTGAAACCATTACTACTGCGACATACATTGACTGTAAGTCAATGGCGACATACGATATAAATAATAATCGATATATCCAAAATAAGTAAGTAAATATAGGACTATTCACTGGTATTACTCAATGCGAGCTAATGATTCCTTTTTTAAATATTATCTTAGATTGACAAAAAACATCGTGCTCACTAAAACGTGAATTATACGGTTTAGCAAGAAGAGTCAGCAGACTGTTCATAGCGTAGTTTGTTGAGCACGGTGGTATATAAAATAAGAGCGTCGACGTGTGTGACGCACCGGCATGCGGTATGTGATACCAGCCACAAGCTCCGCACAATCAATATGACCATCACAATGTCATGCAACAAACACATATCTAGCAACTTACGCCTATCTACAAGGCTGAGAATATTATGATTTCGGCACGATTCTTGGTGCAAATCAAACGACTTACGAGAACGATAATTGAGATGCTAAACAAAAATTTTTTGCACTTTTTCTAAACGATTAGTATATTGCGGTGACCAGATCGAACTCGCGTATTCCAAAACACTGCGAACATATGCAAAATAAACGGACTTTAAAGTAAACATATTTTTAAATGGTTTTCACGAGCGTAGAACGTAGAGTATGGAATCAATATGATTAGATGGTACCATTTTATGATATAGAACTACGCCTAAGTCACGAACTTCCGAAGAGTTGTTGATTGGCACACCGTTAAAGTTATACGAGTAGATAATAGGTTTCAGCTTCCGAGTAAAACGTACGCATTGACGCTTTTTAATATTAATGTTTATTTTATTAATTTTGTAATAATGGTATAAGTCGTGTTGTAAGCTTTTACTACACAAAAAAAATTTTTTGCTGTAATATCACAATAAATGTGTAGAATAAATAATGTAATTACCAATATCATATATGTACGCGTTGTAGAACAGTGGCCCCAGTTGAGAACCTTGAGGCACCCCACTAAGTATTGTCACGAAGTCCGATCTGTAAACACCTAAAACAACCGCTTGTGAGCGATTGCTTAAATAAGATTCCGTCCATCTAAGCAAATTCCCCTTTATTCCAAGAGTTTGGAATAAAGGAGAATTTATAGGGGAATATTAAGGAGGATGATGTGATCTACGCGATCGAAAGCCTTCTCAAAATCAGTGTTGATCACATCAACCTGTCCGCCATGATCCATATTCTTTAGAACATAATCAGTAAAGCACGTCATATTAGTAACTGTGGAGCGTTTCTTTATAAAACCATGCTGACTATCAGGAATGCCAACGATTATTATAGGATAAAAGCGTCGTATACCAGTTTCTCAAATAATTTTCCAATAGTACAAAGGATCTTAATGCCACGGTAATTTTTAACCTTAATTCTACATCCACTTTTATGAAACGGCATAATATGACCTCTTTTCCAAACTGATGGAAACACACATCAGAGAGAATATTAAATATAATACAAATTCATCCAAAAAATCGGAGGGATTCCGTCGTATCCGGGGCCTTTTGAAACGTCTAATTTCTTAATCGCATCTCAATGACAGTCGATTGGATAACTAAATTAGATATTGTGTCACCGCCGATATCTTTCAGCTGCGAAGAAGCATTATAGGAAGAAGGTTCAACAAATACACTATGGAAAAAATTATTAAATGCATTACATATATCATTACCCTCCCTATAACATAACTGCCCGTGTGTAACCGTCTGCGGGTAATTAGACCCTCCGCGCATAGACTTAACATGTCTCCAGAAAGCTTTAGGTGTAGATTTTATAGCTTATTCGGTGTTATATATGTATGTATTATAGCACGCTTCATGTACTTTACGTTGTCTATTGCGTAGGAGAGAAATTCGTCATAATCTAGTGGACTGTTATATTCCTTCCATCTAGCGTGAGCTTTCATTTTCTCATTATTTAAACGAATCAATTGCTTATTATACCATATTGAATAGATAGATTTATTAGGACTTATGCAAGACGAAGGTACATACCTATCTATGCAGTCTTTAAGAATATCATACAATTTGTTTGTGGCTGTTTCCGGATCATTGTGTGGTAATATAGAATCCCAATTAAGCTGACTCAAAAAACTGTTAATCGTCGTATAGTTTGCCTTTTTAAAATTACGTTTGGTTACAGATTTTTCAGATAAAGGCGGTATCTCAATATCTAGAAGTTCTAGCAGTAACGGAGGATGAGCTCGATGACGTTTACATCTTACATCTGTACATATATATATAAAAGAATATAAAAAAGCGACAAACTATATGTTACTATAGCGTAAAATAACAATAGTGTGCATAAAATCCTGGTGGCACTACACTGTATGTACGAGATAATAAATTGCAACGCATTTAAGGATAAGTTAGTAATGAAATTGCATTAAATAGGTAATAATTTGGCATAGTACTTTATCTTCGTCAGTCATGATTTTATGTGTGGATCTGTTTCGCAATTAGTCTGTTTTAAGTTTTAACGTTTTCACATTAACATTATCTTTGACTGTTATTAGGTAGGTATACATTATACCAGATTATACCAATGAGGCTTGATTTTTGCAACGAACTGTACCTTTAATAAAGATAAGATAAAGATAAATTTATTCTGTATAAAACTTTAACCTGAATTTAATACATGAACTTATTAAATAACCTTTTATTTACATATATGCGCCAGACTATCGCAAATAGTGATACATTGTATGTTTACATAACCTTAATTAAGGATAGATAATACTTAAACAATTAGTAGAACATATTAAGTATCGATTAATAACCATGATAATTTTTCAACTTTGGGTTAATAGCGGTGAATAACATAAATATTTACATTTTTATATCTTGATGAGGACTCATTATGTAAAACGTACGTCAGTTGCAGGTACCTACTTGTATGTATATTAGTATCCCAATAAAATTGTTTAATACGCTGCATTACAAACAGGCTAGTCTCAGTATTATGAAACGCTGTTTTGTGAAGCGGCTAGTTGAATATAATGTCGTTGAGTATTAACTTCATGGTTCGATTTGTTGGAAAGCACAAGCAAATGCCATGGGATTTTCATAATGGCTTTTCATGTGAAAAAAATCTGTTTTTCATCATACTTGCGCGTACATTTGTAACAGAACAGCAAATCTAAGCGATATATTTTTCTCATGCATCACTGGGCCAGTAATTACTTTTTTTTTATTTTTACATTCCCACCTGGCGCCCGGACAGACAGCCGGCTCAGCCATTTCCGTCGCATCGCGCAATATTCACCCAAATACAATGGAGTTTGGATTTTGTTTATTAAAAGTAATACAAATAGAATCGGCTTTAAATAATTTAACATTTTTAGATACAACAGACATACAATACATTTGATACATACTCATAGACCCGATACCGGGTCAGGGGGTGGATTCAAAACCTTGCGTTGACTCAGTTGTCCACCGAATTTCTTTTCATTTTTATTCACAACACCCGACCTCAAACTGTCGTATTCGAAACCGAATCGAAATGACGTCACACCCGTACGATTACTCGAATTTCTCGACCGGCAAAGGCTAAATCGGTATTCAGAACACAGTGATCGAATGAAAGTTACCGAACGTCCTATTGTTTACAAAGCAAGAATGTAATACGGAAATTTCTTATTATTTTAGATAAAGTCTGGATTTTATTAAATTTTATTAATTTATTTCAATGCAAAACTAATGCATTTCTATATTTTAGGCCTATAATGTCTTAAAAATGTATATAAAAGGAATTTCATTTTTCCTAAAATCTAGTTCACCAACCAACTCCGTAAACGTTGTTGGATAACGATATCGTATCCCAATCTCGAAAAGCGCCCTTCGACTCAAGAACGATATCCAATAGAATCGATTCGGTTAAAATATCGAAGAGTTTTGAATCGGGGTTCCGATTCACAGATCGAAAGTCGCAAAATCGATTGGTCATTACAACGACAGTTTGTTAAATGGACGGCACGCCATGTGGACAGGACATTATATCAAAGAGTACGTCGACGACGTGCGCTAAAGTTCAACTGAAGAAAAAAGAAACTAATGACTACGTAGGCAGTATGGTCTCTGACCTTCGCCTGTTCTAAACGGAACGAAGGGAAAAAAACTTGTCAAATTGACAGTGTCAATGTCAATTGGTGTAGCACAATTCGTTTTTCTTCGTATTTTCTATTAAAAAACACTAATTTTAATATATAAACTTGACTATTTAATATAATCATGTCTGAAAATGAAAAACAGTTCTTCGGACCACTTACTCTCCACCAAAAGAACGAAAACCCGACAATTTTTAAGAGTAATGAAACTGAGGAGTGCGCCTGTATTTTGTGTGAAGAAAAATTCATACTACCGGAATCAGAGAAGCAATTTTTAACACATTTATTTATGAAACACAGGCTGGTGATAGCTGATGTGAACCAGATAGCAGATTTGACTGGATATTTAAGATATTGGAGGCTTAGATTTAAAGGTTAGTTCTCTTACACTGTGGGATGTAAAATCAAAGTTAATTTACTATAATTGCCTATATAAATAGTATTTACTGTATGAAATTCTTCCACGTCTGTTACACAAATAATGATATATCATAAACCACACCAATATTGAATTAGTTTCTTGAATTACATATTGGCGACACTGAGTAACTTATGATATATATTTATCGGTTTATCTTGAGATGTTATTTGTCATTATGGATAATGTTTCCACCTCTATATTATTCTAACTCAACCATCATCAACCATATATTAATACAACACACAGACACACACATTACATTTCTGTATATTTACTATAATATATCTTCTCCAATACTAAACTCTAAAGGTGGAATTATTGTTAAGTTTATGAGACCTACCTCTCAGATGGTATAAGTCCCTGAACCCACTATATGTAAAATAGGCACTACTAAGTTGAGCTGCAGAATCAAACCAAACACCATACCGTATCATAAAGAAAAAAAATTATGTGAACCTTTAAAAAGTTATGTGAACATTAAACAAGGATGGCAAAAGTTGCCACAATAACGTCAAAGAGCCGTTCATGGACTTTGCTAGTATAATTTTGCGTTTTAGTTTATGCCTAGCTGTCAATATATTTTTGTGTTTTTTTAGAAGTCCGGAATAAAAAAATTGTAAAACCTTATATTTTAGAATTGATGCAAGAACACTACGTTCTTGATTCAGTTGGACCATAGATTAGGTAATCATGTATGTATGTTTCATTTTAAGCATGATTGAATGTTTGCCTACTTGAAGTATTCATTATTTTATAGCACACACAAAAACATTAAAGCTATAGAATACCTAATGAAATAATCAATTAAACAGTAATGGACATAAAGCAAAAAATAAAACAATGTGACAAAAATATTTAGACAATATTTAAATTAGAGATAATGAACATTGCAAAGGAACGTTTTGACAAGAGACCTGCCAATGTCAATATTACATTGATATTGAGAATAGTGTGACCATTTGTGGCAGATTTCTGCCATGTGGGCAGATTTAATTTTTATTCATTTTCATTGCTGCAGAACATGATAAGTTTTATTAAATGTGGCAGTTTGGCAGATTTAGGAATATTCAGGAAGTTCTTTATTATTTTTAGGAAACTGAAAAACTGAAAACTAGTTGTTTTCTGCTACTGTGAACAAACATCTGAAGCGAAATACAAGACAATGTTAGAAACATAACCTATATCAACTTTATAACTCCAGCTTACAGGCAGTACTCAATTAGCTTTTTTGATGCTTTGATAATGAATCACAAGTAGTGATAGGTCTCCTTAATGCACGTCGTCAAAAACACTGGGTCACAAAATATACGGGATGACGCCATCCTTCTTTACTAAAATCTCAGTCCCACTATAACAATAATAATATCTTTTACAGAGACGAGTTTAAAATAGATAGATAAATAATAATGTAAATGGAAGAGGACGAAGTAGATTCTTATTGTGCACTCTCCACGTAGATACACATACTGTATTTACTTAATTTCGGTGTATTAACACAGTAAAAACCAGCCATCAGGCTGCGAAAAAGGCAGAAAAACCAGATGATGATAATAATAAAAATATCTTTATTTATCTCCACAATACAAAACAAAGGAACTATAGGTATTTCATGTGTAAATAAGTGTACTAAGTCAATACAAGAAAAACCAGTTCGCTGCCTGCAGACTTATTCCCTGAATGCTACAACTTGGGCGTTTTCAAGGCGAGAGGCATTACTTAGGTATATGCTCCCTTGTCACTTTCCATCAGTTGAGATAGAGGTGAAATGCGTACTTGTATTCTTAAAAAGAAAAAAGACATGCCTCTGGCCTATGATTGAATCTTCACCAATCTAAAAGTACCTTCAATTAAATATTGTTATAGCATTGTGCCATTGAAACAAGCAATATGTTGAAGTTGATATGCGACTCTTGGTCTCTGTAATGTTGTTACAATGTATGTTAAGAAACACAATAAAATGTGTAAAATCTACATAAAGTTTTTCTTTGTTTCAGATAACAGCCTGCCTTTCTACTGCACAACAATGTTATTAGACAGTAAACCTGATGGTACTAAGTCAAAAAATGAAGAATATTTTCTGCTCAGTGATGTTCTACCAGAAGATAAAGAACTACGTTCAAATCTTCAACAAACAAAATTAGAAAAACTTTTAGAACGCCAGCAGTTTGAACGGGAAGACAAAAACTACATCCGAGAATGTTTATTTTGCCGTCACATGTCGACTACCTCCAGAGGTGATTATTTGAAACATTTATATGAAAAACACAACTTTCACATTGCGAAACCAGACAATTTAATATTAATTGATGATTTAATAAACGCACTTGCAATAAAATTAGAAAAACTTCAATGCATATTTTGTGAAGGATATTTCAAAGACCGTACCATCTTAAAAGAACATATGAGAAAGAAAGGTCATAAGAGAATTAATCCAGATAATAAGGAATATGATAAGTTTTTTCTAGTTAATTACATAGGTGATAAACAAACAGATAAACCTAAGCCTAAGTTAAACTATAAAAATTATACCAAAAATCATAATCACAGTCAAGTGAAACCTAAACAGGAGGATTATGAAAATGATTGTAATGTAGACAGTGATCCAGAATGGTCGGAATGGACAGAAGCAAATGGTCCTCTAATAACTTGTCTTGTTTGTGACCATACAGAAATGGAATATGAAAATGTTCTAGATCATATGGAACGCCAGCATGAATTCTTCTTTACAAAAGCTACAGTAGGCTTAGATTTTTATCATAAAATTAAAATTGTCAACTACATAAGACGTCAAGTGCATTTAAAACAGTGTTTTTCATGTGAAGTAAAGTTTGACGATTCAAAGAATTTAGAAAAGCATTTAAAAGAAATGAAACACTGGGCTTTGCCAAAGGAGAAATGGGATCAACCAGAATATTATTTCCCTACATATGAGGACGATTTGTTTTTATGTTTTATTCAAGACGATGATGAAAGTTGGTGGTCTAGTGACGAACAAGAGGTTGAGAGTAATACTATGTCTGATAATATCTCTAAAGAAATGGCATTAGCTGTACTTGATGATTAAGAGTGTATTTCGATAGATAATATAAATATGATATTATAATAATAATAATGCACACACTCAACATAGTTCCGCTCTTTGTCGCGGGTGCCATGAACACACACATAGACAACCACAAATTATACCAAAACTCATTAGAGAAATAAATGTAGGCCACACAAATATTTTTCCAGGCCTGGGAATCGAACCTGGGACCTCTGCGGCAGTCGGCATGGTAACCGTTCGGCCATGGAGGCAGTTATAAATGTCTGTTAAATACAATTTATTTAATTAAGTAAATTAAGTTAGTATTATAACTATAATGGATTTTGTACAGTGAAAATTGTAAGAATTAATTTATTTGTGCAATAAATACTTAATTATGCATATGGGAAGTGTTTCAAGTTTCATATAATATTTTTCAATTTGATCAATGTAACATATATGTTCGTAAATAATGCTGGTGGTTCTATATTTTTCAAGAAATCTGTTACACTACTTTGTGTTGGTACTAGTATGTCAAGCCATTTAGTACTACATTTAAATTTAGTAAGTCATTTACATAATCACATTACTGTTAATTACGAAGTTACTAATTGATGCTGTATATTATAAGAACACGTGATGAAATCATTCTCAAAATTCAGTTATTGAAATAAACAGCCATATCATGCCCTATTTCCTATAAGGTATTAGGGTGATAAGTAAGAGGAAATTGCCTTCTGGTGTCCAAGCTATAGTTAACGAGGCGTCACTGCGACAAATGTACGCTTTTCCGACAAATTAGATGTGCCTACATTGAGGCAGTCTTTAATTAGGGGTGCAAGATTTATGAGAAAGGTCACCTAGATCATAATATTAAAAACACTGCGTGGGTACTTTATCATAGTTATGAAAATAAAAGTGGACTGCAGCGCCTAACATAATAGGACGAGCAAATTTTAATTCCGTTTTTATAGTACTTAGTAATCATCAGAGTAGATATAAATGTGTCAGGCGTTAGATATTGACAAATTGAATTTACTTTGAATCTTAGGATGGAAAACAAAAAAATTTGCTCAAAAATGTTAAATTGTAAACTAGTCAAGCACAATGACATCTAACTTTGATCATTGTCTTTTGCCTAGCTTTTGCCGTTCAGTACTTTTTAATTTGTTTAAATCATTGACCTGCCAACAAATTTAAATAGACCAAGTCATATAAGTAAACTATTTGTTTTGTGAACTACTCGTTACAACGTACTCGATCGTGAAGAAAAGACGCGTAGTTCATCGCTGTACCTATTTTTAATTTATAGGATTCTTGCGAAGTATGAATGTGTGCTAAATAAGCGATAACTATTACATCATACATAACGTCATAAATATAACCTCCCAGCAAACTACAATGGGGAACGAGCTAAGCTACTTACAACGACACAACTACAGTTTGGCATACAATAGGTAATAGCACCCTGCCTATGATAGCACCCACCATATACATAGGTAGGCATAGAAACAGCCGAATATACTAAAATTATAATATTCTTATTACTAAAAGTTCTAACACGTTTATATAAAAATAATATTAACGTCGATAATGAAAAACAAACTATAGTCATTACACGTAATTCATCGAACGAAACAAGAAGAACGGTAGCTTCGGGATCTTTTAAGCCTTTTAATCCAAACTACTATTGTCTGTACAAGTTTTTGTCAGTGCAACTTTACTGGAGCATTGTTGTATTTCTCAGAATTGTGTGGTACAGAGATAAATATTCTTGAGAGTAGAAAAGATAGATAAATAAATACTAAATACACTAGTATGACGCAAATGTAAAAATAAAACGTTTTGTTGGAGTAGTGAAAAGACGCTAACTCTGTATGCCTAGGTTCCCAAAGGCGCTGGTTTTCAGTCTGGACCAACGAGGGGGACTAAATGTAGAAGTTATCTGTAAGCAAAAATTAAAGAAACGATTAAGTATAGTATATTGTACAACAAGTGCATAAAACGCGTCATTTTACCCACGAGTTATACACTCTGCTTTTCACTTCGATTGCGAGGAGATTAAACAGCAATATTACAAATAAACGATTATTTCATTAAAATTGAATGTAAAATTACAACAATTAGACATATTAAATATTATGGTTTTTTTATTTTATGCACTAGAGCATAAAATCCTATTTTATGCAGCCTACACCCAGCATAAATACAAACTTTAAAAGTATGAGAAGTGAAAAAAATATTTATTCTTATCATATCCATGGCATATACACAATACGCTTGCCATCATGATGAAAGGATTTGCCCATCGGCGTAATATAAACTCTCCGATTGTTGCTTAGCGTTCGTCACACGTGTGTAAAATGATAAGTTGTGCGGGAATTCTTCCATGCACCCATTATTCATTAAAACAATACTACTTATACATAATATACTCTTACATAATAAAGTGTAAAACGTTAATCTAAGGGTATGCTCACATGACAAGCGTTCAACGCCCATTACATTTTTGAATATTGTACACATGGCGGGCGCTTTTCGGGCGTTGAGCGTGCGTTGCCACTGTTTCAGTGCAAGTTCGGCATTGTCGAACATGGACGTGGAAACAGCTACGTGTTTGTGGATTTTATATCGAAGACAGAGACAGCAACGCAACAGGAGACGGAAATATTGGGTCCATCCTATTTTATTATCCAGGTTCCGTGAAAGTCACTTCATAACTTTGTATCCTAAACTCAGACTATATGAACCCAAATTTTTTAATTACTTCAGGATGTCAACAAAGTCATTTCATGCTTTACTAGCTCTCGTAGATGATGAACTCATGGCAGATGAAAACGCTGTGCGATATTGCATTTCACCAGAAGAAAAACTCATAATTACATTAAGGTATGTGTTAACACAAAAGAACTCCGGCGCCACTGGGCCGCACGCGCGCCCCTCACTCGATTCATTCCGCTCTTGTAGCTAAGCGTGCTCACATGTATTACCTTTCACTGTAGTCAAATTGGAATACACGCTCCAAAAGGTTTTTCATGTCATTTTATTTTATTAAGTAGCTGAATCCTTAATAGTAAAGTATTAACAGTATGCAAAACACATCTCACCGCGTCGAAAACTCGCGCTCACGTGAACGGTATAGCGAACAAATGATCTCAAAGCGCGCTTTGACAAGTGACCGGTATTAGCGCGGCGTTGAGCGCGTGTTGGCCGCTCGCATGTGTACACTTACAGCGAATTACGCACAAAATTTGGAATCCCCCGGAGATGGCTACCTGGTCCTACCCTCCTGTCGCCAACCGGCCGGGATTTTTCGCTGGGTGGCGGGGTAGCCTTTCACAGGTGGCTTTCCCGCTACTTGGGCCCCAAACATCCCACCGTCGTCGGCCAGCGGTGCACCGTGCTTCGGATCCCGCTAGCCAATAGAACCGAGTGCGCAGTGTGGCAGTACAAGCAGCTACTATTCGTCGTTGGACGCATGCAACTGTTCAGACCCGACCTCCTAATGGCAACTCCCAACACGGATAAACCATTTGGCGACTCGACTGCGTCGGGAGGGTGGTACAAGACACGGCCGAAGCCTACCACTGGTAGTTGTTGCTCTTTAGCACCACTGAGGGGTCACTTGTAGGCATATATGCGCAGATTATGCGCTTTTACGGCGCCGTATAAGTCACGTTTTATTATCGTTGGACGACTGTCGTGTCTAGCCTGTTCCCATGTCACGACTATCTGTCGAGGACGATTTTTTATCGTTGAACGACTGTCGTGACTAGCTGTTCCCACTAAATCGTGATGACAATTTATCGTTTCACGACAGCCTCCTTGCCCATCTCTGGCTACGACCCTACGCTATTGCAAAGCGAGCAGAGGGCGCGGGATACGAGAGGGGAGGGCAGGGAGCAAAATACGTGCGGACAGCGATAAATAAAACGTGACGACAATAGGAGCTGCGACAATCTGTCGTCACGTTTTTATCGTGACGTTTTTTTATCGTCTGACGACTGTCGTCCTAGCAGTTTGTCGTTGTAACGATAAAAAATCGTGAACGACAGTTAATCGTGTCGTGCTATATGTGAACAATTTCATTTAAATATACAAGCCACACGGTTAAATCAGATTGCTTAGAAACAGACAAAATTCTTTTTATGAAGACAAATTTATTAAATTCAACAAAACGATCCTCTCCCTATAGACGCTAGAGAATAATTACTTGATAATAGTAAAAAAGTCTCAACAGTGTATTTTAGTTATAAGACAGGAATATTTAATCCAAGAGCAAACTAATTTACTTCAACTCACAATGCCACTCTAGATTCAACAAAATATTTATTAGTTATTAGAAAATTTCTAATAGAAATGTCCGATTTTGACTTGAAAAAAATAGAATGAAAAATTGAGAGGTGCTTAATTATTTGATTGAAGATTTATGTTTTCTAATATCAAAAGGGGTAAATTTACAGGGTTATGGACCCAACAGTATGTCTCACTGGCGTGAAAGCACACAGTTCAGTGCCCAACCTTAAAGTAGCAGAAATGGACGGAATCTTCTCATATACTTGACCATTCAGTGCCGTATAAATGCTACAGCGGCAGAAAGCACTAACAATTCCACATATATATATGAGATGACTTTATACTATTGAAGTTAACAAAACGATAGCGCGGTTCAGAGTATAACTAATGCCATCTAGCAGTGGCGCGATGGAACTAATTACATGTTGAAGTTGTACTTGTTACAAGTGTAGTTTGATTTCATGCTAAAACCAAATTTCTTAAATTATGACTACAAATAACACCCTAACAAACTAGAGATACTACGTATTGTTTCTTTGGATAAATGACTGTTCATGATTTTTATGATTACAAGCACAAGTAAAAGTAATCGTTACCGCGTGCGCCTTTGGCGACATGTCACGACAGCATTAACTAAGAAAACGCAACGAAATATTGCTTTAAAAATATACTCTAGAATTTAGAATATTAATCTGAATAGCAAACTACTTACTTTTTTTGTTTAAGAATATATTTTCTTAAAGTACACCCAAGAAATTTTGAATTCATTTAAGATTATCTAAATTTCATGTAAGAGGTAATAATTTCTTCATGTAAGAAATGTCCAGTTAATTGATTAGAAATGAAATAAA